CAAGATTGAAACCGAACACTCAAGATTGACCGCACGCTCGGGATCATTATCCGAGAATACCAAATTAGGACGAACGCTTATAATCACTATTACACCAAAACCGAACGCTCAAGATTGAAGCCTAAGAACACCAACTTAAGACCGAACGCCTAAAATACTAATACAGAACCAAGACCGAACGCTAAAGATCACTCTCTGAGAATACCAATTTAAAGACGAACGCCTACGATCACTGTTTCACGAAGACCGAAAGCTCAAGATTGAAACCTACCAATTTAAGACCGAACGCTCAAGTTTACCAGCCGAGACTACCAAATTAGGACGAACGCTCACAATCATTAATCTACCAAGACCGATCGCTCGAGATTGCTTCATGAGAGTACTAAATTAAGGACGAACGTCTAATATATTACTAACTTTTATTCAAGGAAGAATCCTACCGCTCGTTACATGAGAATACAAAACCGAACGCTCACTTGGCCTACCACTATTTGTACGTAATCTCCATTTTTATTTCACCTATATTTTGCCGACCACGATTTGGTCGAGCACTGTTCGGACGTACGCTCGTTTCTGCAGAATTTTGCCGAATCGCACCAGATTAATAAAAGTTAAAAATTAAAAGAAAGTAAAGTTGTGTTGGGGGTGCACGACTTCAACCTTGGTCAAATGAACAGGGTGAAGTCGTGCAGGGGGACACGACTTCTTCAATTGAAGTCGTTTTGGCCCCCCACGACTTCACTTTGGATCAAAATTTGCCCATTTTTGATAATAAAAAGGGCATATTTGTCTAGTTTGGTGCAAAAACCGAGCTTCTTGTCTTCTGAACTCTTATCTCAATATATTAATACTTTACCGTATTATTTAAACCGTTTACTGTTTGCCTCATCACATAAACACCATAAGTTGTCGTTCTATTCATACTACCACAACATAATTTATATATATTACAAATTAACCGTGTTTTACATTCAATTGGAAACAACTTTGAATGGTTATAAAGTTATAGAACAGAGAGACATAAATAAACCTAAAACTGCTAATTGGTACACCTATACACAATAATAATGTGCTCCATTGCTTCTACGATATGATAGTTTAATTAATAATATAGAATCAGTTATTGCATAACAATATTATATATCAAACTATTGAAATAAATATCCAATGTTCATCTGCAATGCAGTAGTATATTTTCACGTCCCATGAATTTCACATTAGGTATTATTTTATAATTTGTCCTCGATCAAAACGCTTAGTAAGAGTACAACATGGAGTAGGCAATTACTTTAAATATTATTTGCATAATATAACAATTTCATAGTTCACATGTGTATATCGTATACACGTCTGTATTATTTTATTCCATATGTTAGTTCTCATTGTTAATGATATATTTTTAAATACTGTGATAAAAAAAATCAGAATGAGTTAAAGATGGAAATTTTAAAACGTGAGGAAGGGATTAGATTGAGGTCGAACTTCCTCGAAAAACAAAGCAAAACTACAAAACTCATTGTCGAACTCAAAACAACATGCCATTAGTGTAATATATACTTTATAAAGTATAAGGTAAAGTAACTGTGACACTCTTCTTCAACTTTGTATTGTAGCACTTAAACATGCCATGCATAACAACAACCATGGTAGACGATTTAATGGTTTTATTTGAAATACAGGAAAACATTAGAAGCACCAAGGGTGTCGTCAGGAAGAGAAGAAAGATATTTTCAATTTTTAGTCGCACAGCTTTTTTTGTGCTTAATAATATATATATATATATATATATATATATATATATATATATATATATATATATGTGTGTGTGTGTGTGTGTGTGATGGAAATTTAATATAAATATTAAATTTATATTTTCTCTTTAATTACCTAGGAAAAATATGAATAGAAGCATTTGATTTTGTTATTTGTTGGAATTTAAAAAATAACTGCCATAATATATAAATTTTTCAAAGGGAAAAAGGTTTGAAATCCTTTGTTACACCAAACAACACACTTCTTATACAAGAACGGAAAACAAACATCCACACTTATTACAAACAAGCATCTTCAAATCCTAATTTACACTATGAAAGAAATGGAAGGAAACATTGGCTATGGAATCCTTATTCTTATCATATTATGACATCTGTTTGTTTTATATCAAAGCTCATCATGCTGATCAGGATAAGGTTGTTCATGATCAGAGTGAGAATGAGCATCAAGTCCTTTATTGTCACGAGGAAGAATACCCTTAAGACATGGCCAACCATCAAGGATAGGCCTCACATCACCCACAAGAGTGTCATGAGTATCACCTGGGGTAAAATTGATCCTTACATACTTCTCTCCTTTGAAAAGATAAGCTTGACCTTCCTTATGAGAAGCAAAACATGCATCAATTCCACTTTCAAAGATGGTACCTTTCAGAACAGGAAATCCATCAGTGATGTTACTAATGGTGCCAATGAGCTGCTTTGAATCATAAGCTATGCGACCATACTTATTGTTCTTGAATAAGTAAACTTCTTTGCCTTTAGTTGACCTAAATGCAGAGTCTATACCATTCTCAAACACAGTGTTTTTCAAGACAGGAAACATGGCTACAATTGTCATAGGACCCGAGAGTATCTTATCATTTGTAGTTCCTGGAGCATAGTCAATGTAGGCACAAAGTTTGGTGGAGAAGATATATGCTTTGCTAGCTTCAGTATCGAAGGCACAGTCTAATCCATATTCTCCAAACGGCGTATCAGCAAGTGATGGAAAGCCATCACAAATCAAACGAAGATCAGTGAGAATCTTATCGTTTGTGTCTCCAGGAGTGTAATACACACGCACATACTTATTTTTCAAGAAGAAATAAACTTCATTTGGTCTTGATGAACGAAATGCAGAATCTATGTAACTTGGTACCTCTACAACTTTAGTAGTATACCACTCAAGAGCAGCATCGTTATCAGCTTCCAAGGCCTGTCTTTTCTCTCTCATAGGCGGATAAGTTTCTTCCGGCAGGTATCTGTTTGTACCGTCCTCATCTCTGTAGTAGTAAACAGGGATATAAATTACTACTTGATTGTAAGGAGCGGACTCTGGATTGAAATTCCTGTTTATGACCAATCTTGTTTCTCTCCGTAATCTGGGATACCTGCAAAATATAATAGTTATTACTGTTACTGATGGATAAGATGAGTTTTTGATTATAAAAATACCAAGAGACATATGTATTATTGCAACCTTGATCCGGCTTCACGTGTTGCTGTGAATATGAGACAAGATCGAATGTACTGAGGAGCAATGCCTCCAACAAAGCAAACTTCAGCTTGAGAAACGTATGAGTATCTGTCCCCAAGGGTGACAGCAACCCAAATGCCACCGGGAGCATATACTTCATAGCGATAAAATTGAATCTGAGAGCCTGGTGGGAGGACTTGGGTGGAAGGGGTTGGTTGCCATGCATTGTTGAGAGTGGTGCTGACAAAGACATGTGTTGTAGTTGGAGGCCTGTTTGAATCAAGAGGGGCACCTGCATGTTCAATGAAGTCAAGCAAATCATAGTAAGTGTTGTTGGGAGTTTGTCCCTGTGGCCATGCTTGGAACCCATTTGCAAAGATCTCTCGATAAGGCCTTCTGTCCCAACGATACACAGGCCAACGGATATCAAGATCTAGGTCACCTGTCCTGTATTCAACTCCTGTCAAGTTTCCTTGAACAACGTTGACTCGGTTCACATTCTCCAACAAATTTCGAGCTTCAGCAAAATCTTGTTGCCCTAGAGGCTGTGAGAATTCCGAGGAACATCCTCTGGATGGATCGTTTGGTGGAGGGATTGACATTTTTCTTCAGAAACTTAACAAAAGGATTAATAAGGTAGATAAATGGAGTAGAAGAGAGAGATATGATTTGGTTTGAGGATGCTTACCTTCCTCTCCGACGCACCTATTTATACTGTCATGGAGTTCCATCCTTCGCTTATTTCTTTCCTTACTCAGTATTGGAAACTACGATTACCACACTTATTAATTCATAAACCTTGTGAAAAATGTGTTACATGATCTCTTAGCCATACTTTTTTTTTGTTACATATTATTCTCAAGTTGAAAGGGACGACCACCAGTATACTTACCTTACAATAAACGGCAAACATGTTAATTTACATGTAACTACAGAATTCTGTATCATAAGAAAATTTATACAATTCACTACATATATTTATTTATGAATGCAATAAATAAGAAAATAATTCAGAATTAAATAAGAAAAATTAATTGTGATAGAATAATATTTTTGTATTAAGGCTAAATTATAATATATAATAATGGGTTCAAACCCTACTTTACAAGTCTCTTTTGTGATAAGTTGATTTTGTGTGGTTGAGTTAGTCTTAAAATTTACTTCTTAAGTATCAGAACCATGTTTAGAGTCTATCCTAAGGAGATCTAGACGTATCTTCAAAATCTGAATGTTTGTTTCAAAGTTTCGATAACCAGGCAGAATATGAAGCACTGGTAACGGGATGAAGTTGGCAAGGGATATCGGCGCCCAACATTTAACATGTCAGACTGACTCGTAATTGGTGACCAAACAAACGAACGAAGAATTCCAACTCAAGGAAGACCACCTCCTACAATATTTTTACAGAGTAAATATTCTGAATTTTATTGTTACATTCCTCTAATAAACAATATTACAAAAAAGTAGGGTAACTATTTAGTGTTTAGCTCTTCGATCCTATAAATAACTGGATTATTTTACTTTTCAAATTTTAAGTTGATACAGGATTTTGTTGAATAAATTCTTTACGTGGTTAACTTAATTGAATATGATCACTTTATTATAGTTTTTTCAAAATTTATTAGAATAAATAACGATAACAACTCCAAAACTTCAAAAACTTCTGTTTATATATATTTTTTCATCTTACCACGATTTAGGTTACCACAATATATATATATATATATA